GGTGGGGGGTGGGGATGCTTCGGGAGCGAGCGTGGGATCGGAGAGATCCCTTTTGGGGGGGAAAAAACCAAAGAGGTGATCCTAAAATATCATCCTGTCTAGAAAAAAGAAAGGCAAGGAGCAGCAAGTTGCGTGGAGGGATGCGGGGGACCCTGTGGGCGGTTTTCTGAGAGCGTGTGGCCGAGGTGTTCCGGGCTCTGCCTCACCTGAGGGTCCTGTTGTCTCGGAGGGGGAAGATGTGGGCAGGAGGTTGTTGTCTCCATTGCTTTCCTCTCACTCCTGGCCAGCTGCAGTCACTGCTGGCAGGCTGCACCTTCCCATCCAGGTGGGATTCAGGGACCCTGTGGGACGGGCGAGCTGCTGCCTGGCGTCTCTTAGTAAAAACCTTGTTGGCTTTATTGCAGGGAGGGTGGAAAACCAGCCCTGAGTGAAATCACGCCCATTTTCCTTGGCGTTTTTTGCAGTTCCCTTTGCTAAAGAGCCACCAACCCCCTGCTTCGGACTCTGCCGACGAGAACTTGTTCATAACAATTCAAAATTAAACCATTAGGGCTGTTTAGGCCAGTGGAACGAGATGAGCCGAGGGAGCCGTGTGGATCTGTCATCTCTGCCCATTTTTGGTTCTGCTGTGGGGCTCCCCCGTTGCTGCCCAGGGTCTGTGTTTGCTGTTGTGCTGGGGGTCCTGGGGAGGCTGGGGTCCTGGAGCTGAGTCCTGCAGCCCTGGCTGTCCTCCCTCCTCTACTGCCAGAAACACTGGGTTGGTTTACTGACCATGCCCCAGCCCTGGCACACTGAGCTGATGCTCCTGCCCCTCCTGGGGAGCTGCCCTCCCTAGCAATTAATTAATGCCATTAAGGAGGTGGGTGCACCGGGCTCTGCGGGCTGGCAGTGGAGGAGGCTGCTGTGGAGCGATGGGAAGATGCTGATCTGTGCCAGGGTTTAAAAACTGAGTGTAGGAGAGGTGTGGGGAGCTGAGATAATGCTGGGGGGTTGTAAATAAAGGTTAAAAAAAAAAGAAAATTAAGAAAAAAACAGTCCTGGCAAAGAAAATAATCTTTATGTGAGGCAGGAGCGGGAATGTGAGGTAGACCAGGTGTTGTAAAAGGTTTAGTGAAGCAGGGCTTGTGCTGACCCAGCAGCAGGTGTGTGCTGCTCCAGAAACCCCAAGTGATAAGGGAAAGGAAAGTGAACCTCAGTATCTGGGCAGTTTGTTTGGGTTTTTTTTTTTTTCATCTGAATTAAGTAACCTAAATCTGCGTGCAAGCCAAGGAAAACCCGTAGTTGGGTTACTCTTCTGTGTAGTTTTTCCCAACTTGCTCTGCATTACACAGGGACATAGTCTGGATACTTTATATGCTAGACTGGATTGCAGGGTCTGGTGTTTAAATTAATAATAATTGTTTTCAAGAAACTGCGACTGTAGGGAGCAGAAAATGCCCTACAGCAGTAAGGTCTACTCACCAGGTTTCAAGACCTACCACTATTTGTAAGCTCTAGTTTTGGTGTGTGCTTTGGGGAGGTGTGGTGGGGCTGCAGGAGCACAGGGGGACAAGATGGTTTCTTCTGCCAGTGGATCACAGCTCTGGAAAAGTCCAAGGGGTGCAGGATTGTATCAGGAGAGGCATTTTCAGAGAGAAGACCTTCCCCTGTGCAAGGTGCTGCTAAAATCTCACCTAGAGGGTTGTGCCTAGGTAAGGTGATGCTGTCAGAGGAGGGAGGGAAGAGTTGCTGCTTGTCTGCCCAGACGAACTGTGGCATGAAAGAGGAAAATATGGAGTGTTGTTAAGCCCTAGGACAAGAGGAGCACAAATTGGTCACAGATGCATTCAGACTGAAAACTTGCCAGCTGCCTGGCAGTGAAGTCCTGGTCTGCTCCTCCAAAGAGACCCCAGAAGCACAAGGACAAGCTCGTTTTATGGCGCAGTTGATGGATTGATGAAAAGGGATTGGGCGGCAGAGCAGGGACTGTCCCATGTTTGGAAGCACAGCTTGGGGCACGGTGCTCTAGGTGGCTGCTTTTCCTGGTATCCTGAGGAGAGACTTTATTGCTGCTTCTGATTGTATTTGTCTGTGCCTGATTTATGCCTGGTTCATTCAGTTTTTTGGTCTGACTGCTGCTCACCCGTGGAGCTCGTAAAAGACTTTGTTTTGGCGCTTGGATACATGAGCTAAGGCTGAAGGATGGGAGGGGGAAGAGGGTCCATCTCCTGGGAAGTGCTGAGGACCAGCCACAAGCCCTGGCTCTCGGTGGAAGCAGTGATGCTGTCAGCATCCCTGTCCCTCCAGAGCCCCTGGGAGGTGTGTGTTGCAAACAGCTGGGCTGGCTGCCGGGCTTCAAGGTCAGGAGAAGGCTTTTTACCACAGCAGAGACCGCCTGGACTTTTGCTTCCGTGATAAAGAAGCTGCTTTACTGAATCCCCCCAAATTTCTCAAGACTCCAGGTAGGCTTGCTGCAAGTTGAGGGTCTTGAAGGGGAACTAGAAGGGAAGTTTCTAGTGCTGAGCAGCTCATGTGTCCCCAAAGCATTCCCTTGGCTTGGGATGGCAAGTCAGGTGTGGATCCTGTTTTAGCATCGGTCTGTCTGGCAGGCAGCAGAGCTTGAAGATAAAATCAGGTGATAGGAAGGAGAATAGTGGAAACCAGACTGAACGAAGCATCCCTCCAAATTAGATAAAATAAGCTTGAGTTTGGAAAAAAATATTAGTGCAGATCAGATGCTCTGTTCTGCCCCTTTGGTAGCTCACTTATTTTTGCTAGGTGTTGGCTTGTACCACGTAAGTACCACAGCAATAACAGGTAAGAAGTTTGTACCTAAAAGTAATTTAAAAAAATACTCAAGTTTGCCCATTTCTTGGTAAACAGGCAATTTCACAAGCTTGCAGAAACGAGCAGTCAGTGTCTGTTTTCACAGGACTGTGCTAGAAATAAAGCAAGGCTGAGTGATGGAAAGCCAGGCTAAGGACAGGGCTGGCAGCTCCGTGATTGTCCCCAAAGAGCCTGAGCCCTGCGCTGGGCCGGGCAGAGCCCTTCCTGCCAGAGGCACTGCTGGAAAACCTCTTCCTCAAATATTAAAATAGGTGTTTCCTG